AGTATTCCCGCTTGTAATCGCTGCGCCATCCAAAGCTTGATGGGAAAGAAGGCTGACTGATGATTTGACCCTGGTCTGGGGTGCTGAACCACTTGCTCTGCAGGAATTGGCCATGAAACATGTGGCTGAAGAGGAGCTCTTGGAGGCCGCTCAAAGAGAAGGTCGCGGTCAGGAGGTGTTTGAGGAACTTGTTTCACGCCGCGATCCTAGCATGATGACCTTGGCGCTCGAAGCCTCGCAACTCGAGGCCTCACTGGTGGCCAGCCACGATCCCCAACGCCGGGGGCTTCAAGCGCCGCACCATCCAGGTACTGCGCCATCCACTGCACGAGCACCACCTACGACGGCTGAGGCCTACAACCAGCAAGGCGCTCGAGGCACACGCTTGAGCTCCAACTTGGACACCTTGTCTGTGCGGGACGGCGATGCCATTTTCATGGATCCCAACTCGGAGGCCCTGCAACGAGCTTGGGCTACACCCCAAGCCCCCACGCCCGCCAAGCATCGAGGCGGACGGCCCCTTAGCATTGCCTCATCCGCCGGTGCCACTTCGCGCCCAGTTAGTAGTGTCTGGGGGGATGAGAGCCTGAATCAGTACGGCCGTGGCTCAACCAGCCAGGGTCGCACCGACCAGTATGAGGTCATCCTGGCCCGGAACGCTCAAAGAGCCAATACATTGGGCATAACCATCCGCAAAGAGCCCCACGCTTTGCCGCAAATCTCCCGCGTGCGTGACCATGTGATCTATATTGGACAACAGCGTCTCGAGCTGGGCGATATTCTGCTCGCAGTCGATGGTCGACCCGTCGACCCCAATGGTGGGCACGATGAGGCTGTCGAGATGCTCAAAGCTAGCGGTCCCACCGTACGCTTGCTCGTTCGCCCCATGGAGGGGCCACCCGCAGTTGGCACAGGAAACTCACGCCTCACTTCAATTCGCGAAGCTCCAAGTCCGGCTGAGAGTCCTACACGGTCAAGCCGTACTGCCACTCTGGGCGATGCTGCCCCCGCCGAGCAATTCCACCCCTCTGCGATGCCCCGAAGCCCCTCCTCTCACTCAGCGCCACCGCCTCGATCCCCAGGTTCGAGGCAGGTGCCCCCACAGCCCCATCCAGCCCCGCGGACACTGCCCGTGAGCAGCGTGGCACACACTGAGCCAACCCTGCGCGTTCCTTTGACCCCAGACCACGCACTACATTCGGCACAGAACGATGTCTTCTCCTCTGGACCCTCGACGCCGCGCAATGTGGTCACCAAATCTGAAAACGAGGCTGGCGCGACTTCGCACAAAGACATGATTCCACCCAATCTGCAGACGTCGACGCCACTAGCTCAAGCTGTCTCAACCATGGAGCAGACGCATCCTCACATGAGCGGAGACATGGATGAGCTACCCGAGGAGTCGGACTTTGACATCTCCGCGGGCTCCTCGGCCCCGCCCGATTCGCAAGAACCAGCCGCGCCCACAGTCGCCACTGGTCGTGCGAGTGGTGCGCGCCTCCTAGACCCGCCGCTTGATACAGCCAGCGATGACCAAGCCAGTGTAGCCTCTTCTGATCTCTTTGGCAGCGAGGCTTCGGAACAAACGGCTGCCCCTGCCCCACGACAGCCAACAACAACAGCAGCCACACAATCTGCAATGGTCAATGTGGCTAGTTCGGCGCCAAGCCGCACCCATGTGCAACCCGTAACCGCCCCGCGACGCATCATTGCTGGCCCAACGGCTTCAGATGAGGACCAACACCTCGATGCTGAGCAGCCGTCAGAGGCAAGTATGGGCCAACCAGCGCCTGTACCTCAGAGCAGAGCTGGCAATCACCACAACAACGCCGAAGCAAACGAGGGAGGTGCCGTCGACGATGAGGAGGAGGAGGAAGATAGCCTTGACTTGAATATGCCCCAGCCTCAGCCTGTGCGCGCGCAAACAGTAACACAATCCCCGGGTGCACAAGAGCAGGTGTTGGCCTCGACTCCCAAGCAACGCGAGGCCGCTCCACCCCCAACCCGAGCCTCATGGGACCATGGAGGTTCAAATGATAGCCTGAGCTCCCTCATCAGTTCTGAAGCCGATAGCTTGGATATGGGCCAGGTACCTCCGCCGCACACAGATGCCAAACACGAGCCCAACCGCCCAGATTCTGCGACGCAGCCACGTGCTCAAGGCCGCGCTTCGAGCACTGCAGTTGCTGCTCAGGTTCGGGAGCAAGCCGAGCCGACCGCCGCCTCAGGTCGTCTAGCATCTCTCTTGGATGATGTTGACGTAGTGGAGCAGATCAACGATCGCAGTGCCATGGAGCATGTCCCAAGCACCACCGCACCTATGAGAGACGGTGCCGCCCCGCCGTCCGGCCCACTACGCCAGCGACTGGCTGCTTTAACGAGCGCGCTGCGCGATACAGGTTTTGGCCGGTTGTATACCGAAATAGATCTCGGATTTGATGTCGAATCACCAGAGCTACACCGTGCCGCAGTCGGGCTTCTAGAGCAGATCGACCGAGGTGAGAGCATCAACAAACCTGTTGGACCAACGGGCAGCGCTATGCCCGGTGATGGCCACTTGCAGGCTTTGCTACTCGCGCTTCTGCGCGTAATGGAGCAGCAACAGCCACCGCTCATAACCGAGAGCTTTGTCCGGCACCAGTGTGGGCCCGTTCCCTGCTACGAGGAGCGCGCGCTCACGGATTCGCTCAGCCCTGAGCAGACCAACTTTTTTCATGATTGCTTGGACTGCCTATGCGCCTTGACCACCGCTGGTGCTGGCTATGACCTGCACCCCAATGCGGGTCATGAACCACGTGCGGATACGGACAGTCATCCAGCAGTCATCAATAAGAGCAAAGGTCGATCCAAATCTACACCTGCTGCCTCGGGTGTGAGTCAAGGCGAATCAACGCGAAAAGGCGGGTTCTTTCGACGACTGTCGGCGCGCTCATCGCGCCGTAAAACACAGGCATCCAAGTCCACAGCTGCGAGCTCCACTACAGCTGGTGATGTAGGCGACAAGCCAACTCTGGCCACAGCTGCGCGAGTGGTCGCGGCCCTTGCCACGCCGCACCTGCTTCCGATTCCCGTGACGATCAACGTGGACAGTCTGCACCAGGCAGAGCACTACCGCCTGCGTGCGGAACGATTGCGTGTGCAGCACGACCTACAGCGGTTGTTGTATGCCGTTTTGAATGAGGAGGACTCAGATCAGGAGCTGGGTGTGGGCACCAGTGGGCAGGAGTTGACTGCAGTTGAGGCCCAACAAGCCCTGGAGAACCTGATCTTCGTGGGAGAGCCGCATTTACTGCTGCGCGCCATTCTCACGACATGGCCCATGGGTGCGGCAGACTTTAGCGAGGCCCTGGTTGTGCTAGCAATTGCGCGCGGTGGGGCCGCTTTGGGTCCCTTGGTGCAACACGCCGTGCGTGTTGAATTGCAAGAGACCAAGGGCAGCAACGAGGTATTTCGCGGCAACTCCATCCGAGTGCGCTGTCTACGCATGCTGCTTCGCACCACGTGCCGAGGATATCTGTTGGACATTCTGCAGGAGCCGCTGCAGCGCATCCTCGGTGATGCCAAGCTGTATCAACAAGACGCTCGCCGCAAAGGCAAGGCCGAGCGTCAGCATCAGGTGGCTGTGGCTACAGTGGTTCAGGACATCTTGAACCGTCTGTATCAGGAGCTCAATGCTGTGCCCTTGGCTCTGCGTCATGTTCTTGCGGTCGTGCGCAGCGAGTCAGTGCTGCAGTCCACCACGCTGGAATGGTCAGTCCTGCGCACAATGTTCTTCCTGCGTTTTCTCTGCCCAGCCTTGTCAAATCCGGTCGAGTACGGACTGCTGGAGGGCGAGGTGGGCTCCGATGGAGCAGCGGCGTTGGTTCTCGTGTCCCAGGTACTGCAGGCCGTGGGCAATGGGTCTGGCCCTGTGCGTGGGAGCGTGAGCAGCACCTTCCAAGAGCTTATTCTATCCAACCAGGAGAAGGTTGAGCGATTTCTCCAGGCCGCCAGCCTGTCCATTCCGGGAGCCATCGTCGACGTGGTATGTTGGATGCCACGGTTTTTCTTGCAATTGGCCCGCGCTACTCCTGGCATAAGAATGGCGTGGCTGTCATTCATGGGGGTTGCGTTGGGCCATTATGCTACTCTTGCACGCGACGGCATGCAAGTGCGATCGCTGTTCACTTTTGTTCGCCCTGACACACTCTCTGACTTTGGCTAGGAAGCGTCTTTGGTGCCGATTCAGGCGCAACTCTCAACCTATTGTGACTCGGCACGCGGTATCGTGGTCCAGCAGCTTGTTGATCAAGAGGCAATGTTGAGTGCAGCACTTAAGGAAGAGGTCTCCGTCCCGGTCAAAGACCCACATCTTGGTGCGAGAAAGTTGAGCTTGCTTTGACGACCAGGTATTTGAGACGGCAAAGCTCACAAACTGTGGTCATTTTGGTGTATAGGCTACCGCGTGATGTTGCGCTTTTTGCACCGATGCGTCCTTGAGGGCGCTCAGAACGACGTGCTTGCCAACATGGACCCGGACAGCTTACCCATCCCCACAAACCACATCAAACGGGTAGGCTATGATCGGCCCTTGACTTCACTCGCTGGCTCTCTACACATTGCGCTCGGCTGATTCCGTGGCCCCATTCTGCATGCAGAACCGACGTGGCATGTCAGGCCGCTTGCGCCGACGGACGCAAAGCACAAGTTCCTTCCATGTCGAGCAGTCTTAGGATGGATTTTGTTTTTGTTTTTGTTTTTTTTGGGGGGGTGCGGTTTCTTGTTCCGCTCCCTTTGCCGTACTCGAGCAGGGACGATGGACTGCCCTGCCCGGCTTCTTATCTTGTTATCTTTTTTCTTCTTTTCTTTGCTAGCCGAGAGTAGTAGTTGGTTTGCTTTGTTTTTACGATGGATGGGCTATATTGCCAGCCCGGTCACGTCAAAGGCGATGGCTTAACACAAGTCGGGTCGATATCGATGTCGAGCATTCGACACGTCGTGTGTAAAGCTTCACACATGTGTCACCTTCAGCCGTGTTGATCCCCTAATTAAAATTTGTCAATACATCGTCTATTTGAGTTGTGGAGTAAAGAAACCGCGATTAGCTTAGTATCAAAGCAAGGACGGACGGCAGGAGGACACTACACGGCGTAAGGTTTGCCATGATCGAGTCTCCAAAGCTCAGGGCCACTCAAGCTGAAAAAATCCTCACAAAAGGGGAAAAAAGAAAAAAAAAAAAAAACAGGAAATTCATGGAAAAAGTAACGACTAGTATTTTCATTATTTTCTTCCTCGTTGTCTTACTCGCTGGAATGGCGTCGACGATGCGCGCGCTCGCTGTGGTGGTGCTGCTGCTTCAGGCGTCCACTGCCACTTGGGGACGGTCACTGGGATCCGACACACCAGACATTCCTGTGATTGGCGTGTTGACGACTCCCACGGATGGATCTCCTTGCGATACCACCGCGCGACATCTGGGGCTGGTCGGTCTGCACGCGTGCTGCTGGCCACATGCCCCCCCTCCGCCTTGGACCCATGGCCATGGTGATTGGCATATTGATAAGCGCATGGCATGTCTCGGTATAGGCTAACAGCACGACTCCCACAGCGTCTTGTTTTGAGGCCTTCTACGTGCAATGGCTAGGTGCATCGCGATCGTTGCTTCACCAGTCTGATTGTGGCATCGTCAGGCTGACTTTGGTCGTTGCTGTGTGCGCAGAATCCTCTGGTTTACAAGTGGCCATCATCCCGTACTCTGCCAGCGATGAGTTGCTGGAGACAATCATGGGCAGGTAAGAGCCGTTTGCTGGGCTGACACTCACCTTCCGATCGCTAGCCCCGGGTTCATCGTCGACATGATTATGCTCTCGCATTTCGGTACTTTGCCCCAGCGTAAACGGGGTGCTCTTCACAGGAGGCGAGCTTGGACTGCAGATGAACAGCACCTACTATCAAACAGCCAACAAGATCTTGCAGCAGGTCAAGGCCAAGAATGATGCGGGCACACACTTTCCGCTCTGGGGGTACGCAAGAACTAGCAACCGCCGGGCCAGATGGGACCAGTGATGCATCCCTCCTTGATCTCCCGGGCTTGCATGGCAGGGACCCCTCATTTGTTGTCTGAATATGCGTGCGCGTTCGAGGGTGTAGAACGTGCATGGGGTTCCAGCTCTTGCACATTTTAGTGGCCAACAACGAGTCGGCACTGTCACGCAACGCATTTGACAGCGAGGTGAGTGACCGTTCCAGTTCATCACGTCATATTTGAATACAGCTGCCTTTCGCTGCAAACTAAAACCGATTCTCGGTCATTGGTTCCTGCTTGCCAATGTTGGAAAGGATATCAGCCTGCCACTAATCTTTACTCAAGAAGCCAGCACGTCGCGGCTATTCGGCGGGCTGCCTGCAAATATGCAGCACAATCTGGCAACCGAAAATTTGACATCAAATCTTCATCACGACGGTGTTGCGCCGAGTAAGCGGGGTTGACTGACAGCAGCTGTTTTTGTGTATACCTAATCCGCTCGTGCTCATGGATGGGGACGGGTCTACCATGTGGTGTAGCGGCTTACAGCGACTACCCAGAGCTGGCTGCGTTTTACTCTGTGCTGAGTACCAACACGGATCGGCAGGGCAAGGCCTTTGTGTCAAGCGTTGAAAGCAAGAACTATCCCATCTTTGCTGTGCAGTGGCATCCTGAGCGTCCGCAATTTGAATGGGTGGAGGATCGTCATATCAATCATAGCTTGGACGCCATCGAAGCCATGCAGTACGTCGGGCGCTTTCTCAGCAGCCAAGTTCGCCAAAAGTACGTGTTGCACAGTGCGCTCCTGGTGCACAAGGCACGGGGCATGGCATGACTGCGCTGCCCTTGAAGTTCAGCCATGGTCACTCAAGTCTCATGTGTCAATTTTCTTGCCTGGGTGACTGAATGATGACTTCACCTTGAGCAGCGCACAGCGCTTCTCGGACCAAGATCTGGCGAAAAAATTGTCCATCTACTCGTACCGACCAGAGCCGGATCCAACAGCGTCGAGCTACGCGTATTATGTCTTTCCACCAATGGAGTAGCCGGGTCTGCACACCATGCCATGCCGCCGATGTACCCTGGCCGGCTAGAAAAGCCCAACCAAGCGCTGTGAGCCTTGATCCGAAGGTGTTCATCGCGGTGGTTTTGGTCCAAGGAGGCCGGCTCCCTTCATAAAGCTATAGCCATCCCCAGCTGTTGCTTGCTTATTGATGGCTATCTGTCTGTCCCGTGAGACAATCTCCTCGAGAATTTCGCCTGTACCCTTGACGAGGCTATAGCCAATCCATTTGCACATTGAAACTCGGTTGAGAAGCTTGTGCAACGTGCCTGCTCACACACGCACGGCCTTGCCGATAATCGGATGCAAGGAAAGAGGAGAGGGACACCAGGGCCGGCACGTACCGATAGCGCCCCGTATCGGGGTCAAACTCGCGGCGAACTTCGGCTTGTTGCTAGAATGAGGGGAAAAAAAAAACCGTCATCGATTGGGGCTGGAGTTGAGTGGAATAGTGAAGAGAAGCACTGTGATGGGGCCTCACCTTTGCATATTCAGCTGGGGTTTGCATCGTCATGATACGTTTGGTCGGCACAGGATCATCTTGATCCGAGGCAGCAGCTAAAATCGCAGCGCGCATGGCAGCAATCTGATCGGCAGAAGGCTTTTCACGGCTAGGACCGGCCTGTGCATCGGAGTCAGCGTGAAAGCATGGCGTGGCGGCCAAGCGCTGGCGATGTGCACAACTTCAGGGGGGAAAGACGCACCAGAGAAGTCGAGACAGTACATTGTTCTTTTGCTTGAGAGTGGTGAGAACGACGCTCATGACGTCGGCCATGACGGGTCCCCTCGTCAGTGTCGCTACTGCTGCTGCTGCTGCTGCTGCTACTCATGTCATGCTTGTGGGCGTGGCGCTTTCGATGCCGGAGTCGATGCGTCCCTCGGTCACGGCTACTTTCGCGGTCACGGCTTCTTTCGCGGTCACGGCTACTTTCGCGGTCACGGCTTCTTTCGCGGTCACGGTCCCGGTCACGGTCACGGCTTTTCTTGCGGTCGTGATGCCGCGAGCTGGATTTTAAGCGCTTCTTGTCTTCATCACGGTCCTTGTGTTTTTTATGACTCTTTCGCTTCTTGTGGCGCTCACGCCGTTCCTCACGACGCTCCCGCTCACGGGTGGAACGCACCTCATCCATGCTCAGAGCTTTGAGAACTCAAAAAGTGCGAGAGAGAGAGAGAGGAGAGAGAGAGTTTGAGAGAGAGAGAGAGAGAGATTTGAAAAGAGAGATTTGAAAGAGAGAGAGAGATTTGAAAGAGAGAGAGAAGAGAAAAGAGAAATGAATTGGTTTGGTCGGTTTGAGATAAAGAGCAAAAGACAACGAAAGAGATTTTGAGAGATTTTGAGAGAGAGAGAGGGCGCGTAACGGTCATAAATGCTGACATAGTGTCAGTGCGGCGATCAACACGATCGTGATTTTTGCGCTGACACACACACACACACACACACACACACACACAATCAGGATGAGGCCGGGGCTGGAGCTGACGGTCCTTGGCGGGCTTGGTCGACTGCTGTTTTTCGTGGCGGCGGTGATGGTGCTTGATGTGCAAGGCACGGTGTGCGACTATGGGCCGACGCAAGTGCGCGTCAATCATCGCCTTCTGACGCGCACTGCCTTGGGCGCACCCATCATGGTGCCAGGTAGGTCCGGCTCGGATGAGGCGCAGGCGAGACATGCCTTTTCTTATCGTGAGGGGGCCTTACGTTTGTTTGTGTGGGGTTATCCTTAGTTGAAAAGCCGACCGTGCAGTGGCAGCTGGCTTGGTTCGTCGCCTCGCGCTTGCACTCGTTCTCACTTGCCTGCTCACCTGATGATGGGACACGCCCGCACGCACGAGTCACTTTGGTTGCTTGCCTGCCATTGCCATTTACGCAGGGACGATCAACAGGCCCCACTGCCGCACACCCAACAGTGCGCCTATCAAGTGGCTCTGATCAACAATCTCACGGGAGCTACTGCCTACTCATCTGGCGTGGTCACCAGCACCAACCAATTTCATGTCATCAATGCCACATTGACTCCTGCGACCCCGTTCGAAGTCAATGTCGCCGTGTACGCAAGCACGGTGTGCACTGCAAGTGTCATGCGGCTTTGCAACGGCACCCACAAGCAGCCGGTCTGGACGCCGCCAGCACACAGCTTCTGGGCAACTGCGGGAGCACAATGGATTGGTGGGCACAATCAGCTGCGTACCACCTTTCACCTGGAATCGATGGCCGACGTGCAGCGTGGCGCATTGCATTTGACGGGGCTCGGGGCCTTTTAAGCCTACATAAATGGAGTAGCCGTATCTGACCACGTGATGGACCCGCCACAGTCGGTTTACAATCAGCGGGTATATTTTCGCACCTTTGACGTGACGCCCCATCTGCGCGTGGGCGAGAACGTCCTAGGGGTCAGCCTCGGCAACTACAAATGGGGCTACAATGACAAGTGGTGCAACGTGCGTTGTATGCCACGATCAAATACCCATCACAGCCATGGTTCGATGTGTGCCTCGTGCGTGGTCTTTTCGGTGCCTCACTCTACTTTGTTGTTCACATGTGACGTCTTGCCGAAAGATGACGGCGCGCGGTGGCCCCGAGGGATGCCGGGGCCTGATTGCCATCTTGGAGCTTATTAGACCCCAGGATAGCTCACGTTGGCACCTGATATCGGATTCGGCGTGGCTCACCGCGCCCGGCCCGATTTCGTGGGACCACCTCTTTCATGGCGAGACCTACGACGCGCGCCTAGAGGCGACAGGCTGGCTGCAGCCCGGCTTTGTGCCACCCGCAACGTGGGTGTCTGCCAGCGTGCTCCAGCTGCCAGTGGGGTCACTTGAGCCGGCATTCATGCCGGCGCTGCGCGTGATGCAACAGCTCGCCCCAGTCAAGATTAGTGCCATTGCGCCGCCCTCACAATATGGCGTAGACTTTGGCCTGAATATGGCGGGCCGGGTGCGCATGCGTATGCCAACTGATTTGAGTGAGGGTCAGGTACGATGTCGATGCGATCTTGGCGTTTGGAGGCAGTTTGAAACAAAGCAGGCAAACACTCACCCACGGCGCGCTGTGCGCACTCTCGCCTCCCTCTTGTGGCATGGCACATGCTGGTTCTGGTGGGCAGCACGTGTGGATCTCGCACGGCGAGATTGTCTATTCAGCAACCAATGCCACGGTCGACGATACCTACTGTTCAATCAATCCAAATGCCAGTGCTCTGCGCCACGAACCGTGCAGGCCCCATCAGACGTACGGCTTTGGCCACGAGACGCCCGATCGCTACGTTGGTGACTTTAATGACGGTGAGTCGGCAAAGAATGGTCCCGAAACGCAGGAGGTAGCTGGGTTGGCTCTGCGCTAACGTCGGGGTGTGCTTGCAGCCAATATGACCAACGTTTATGTGGTGGGCTCGGCAGTCAACGCCACCTATGTGCCCAGCTTTGCCGCTGCGGGGTTTCGCCACATCATGGTGCAGGGTTTGGCCTCGGCGCCAACCAGTGATATGTTTACGGCCGAATTCATTCATACTGACGTGGCGTGGGACCAGGCCAACTTTGAGATGCGCCCCATTGCTGCACGGGGCACCAACAGCACGCAGACCCCCGACCTACTCAACCAGATCCACCACTTGGCCAAACGCGCACAGGCCTCCAATCTGTGGTCCATCCCTACGGACTGTCCTCAGCGGGAGCGGCGCGGCTGGATGGGAGACGCGCAAGTGTCTTGCAATCAGGCAATGATGATGTTTGACATGCACAGCTTTTACCGCAAGTTCCTGCGGGACATTCGCGACGACCAACTTCAAGGATGCGACAGTGATCCCGTGCACCAGTGTGCCTCCGGGTCCTGGAGTCGTTTCAACGGGTCGGTAGCTGACGTGCATCCGTATGATGGCATCGGTGGCTGGCCGGGATGTGTGGTCTGGCAGGTGAGGGCGTTTACACATGGGCGCTCTCTCTTCCCTGCCATTGCTTTCCATCGGCTGAATGATCTTTGCTACGTGCGTGTGTGCGCGCACGTACGCGCACATGGCTCACGCAAGGTGATTGCGAGGATGGGCGTTTTAGGTTGCTTATGTGGTCATTGCACGCAACGTGTATCGATTCTATGGCGACACATCTCACCTTGTTGAGCACTATGCCGGGCTGGCGGCGTTGATGAATTATTTGAACTCCACCAAGAATCCAAGCACCAGTCTTGTCGATACCGCTGGCTATGGTATGTTTGTGTTGCTTTTCTCGTGAGCATCTTCTTTTGACACTGTCGTTTGGCGTTGAGCATCAGACGTCAGGCATCACGCATCTGCATGGTGTAGGTGATTGGATTGACGTGCCTGTGCCGGGAATGGCGAGTGGGGCGCGCACGCCATCCGGCTCGGTCTCCGCCTACTTCTATCTACAAGCCCTAGACTACATGCGTAGGTGGCACATGCCTATGCCAGGTTCAACAGCCCCCTTTTCATGATATGGGTGGGCCATGCTATTGTTGGGGCTAATGTAGGCGAGATTGCGACGGTGTTGAATCGGACGGATGATGCAAGGCAGTATGAGCAGGCACGCGTCGAGGGTGTCGCCGCATACCACGCCGCATATTACAATGCAACCGTGGGTGGCTATAATCCTACTATGAACTCGGGACCATCGCCCCTGGGTTCGCAAACGAGCAATGCCATGGCCCTGCTTGTTGGGGCGCCGCCCGATGCTGCAACTCAGGCTCGGGTGGCAGCCAATTTGGTGGCAGATCTCGAAGCGCACGGCAATCACTCAACAGGCGGTGTTGTGGGCATGAAAGTGCTCTTTCCAGCCCTCTCATTGCTGAATCGCAGCGATTTGGCGCTGGCCGTGCTGCTGCAAGACACTTACCCAAGTATGCTTTTTCCGTGCCTTACACCAGCCTCGCGTTCCGTGGTGCCGAGTCGCATAAGGACACGTCAGCCCATTGATCAGCCCATTGATCAACTCACGTCCCTTTTGCCTTTTCCTCTCAGGCATTGGGCACATGGTGGCGCAGGGGCAGACGACGCTTTGCGAGTCGTGGGCCTGTTCCGAGTATGACGCAGCCGGAGCTTCGCTCAATCACATCATGTGCGTGTGCATCTGCTCCGCCCTGTCGCATCTGCTCCGACGTGCGTCCGCCCTGGGCCAACTCTTGCGTTCACGTTGGTGCATTAGGTTTGGAGCCTTTAATGAGTGGTTGATGGAGCATGTGGGAGGTCTGCACTTTGACGCCAGTGCCAATGCAGACACGGCTGGTGGCCGGCTCATACACTTGGCGGTCGATGCTTGGGCTGCTCGCGTCGTCGGTGCCGCCAACTTTTCTCTGCCGACACCTTTTGGCCCTGTAGCGCTGCAGTGGATCTACAAACCTGATCGGCAGGAGGTGAGTGGATCCCGATGAGCTGTCGTTGCATTCTCTGGCCAAAACCTGGCCAACGACGAGTATTTTTTTTTTTTTTTTTTTTTTTTTTTTTTTAAAATGGAGTCAAAACAATGGGTTCAAGTTCTGGCGGACTCAATTCACGTCGTTGTCCTTTTCTCTCGCACGTTTTGCACAGCTGAGCTATCACCTGCTTGTGCCCGTGGGCGTCAGTGTGCAGTTTGCGCCACCCTTACAAGTGGACCAGGCCGTTTACACGGGCACAACGGCTCAGGCCGGAGGAACCGCCTTGGTCGGAGCTCAGCTTGCGGCGGGTCGCCATCATCTGGTTTCTCAGTATCGGGCTTTGGCGTAGGCCATCGAATTTCATGTCTCTCGCAGCTTTTATGTCTCTCATGTCTACTCTTTCTGTCTATCTTTTACTCTCCAAAGCGGGCTTGTTTTGGCTTCCTCCGATTGAGAAGAAGAAAAAGAAGCGCCGTCCCACAGGCCGTGCAGCATCAGCGGGTGAAGAAGGGCAGGGGGCGTGGCAAAGGGCGCGTTTTGGTGCGCTTGGTGCGCTTGCTCAATGGCCGGCCGGCAGTTCCATCCGGAGCCAACATGGATGGGGAGTGGCCGGCAAAGGGACGCACCACCGGTCGTTGGGCATACTCGGCTCCCGGTCGATCCCGGAGCTGTGCCTCAAGCGCCAAGGTGCGTGGCGAGGCAAGGCCTCCAAGCTCGGCGAGGAGATTCGAGGGCAAAGAGCTTCGTCCGAGCTGGGTACGAAGAAGCTCGGCATGTGTGGGGATGGAGCCCAAGATCTCGGCCCAGCTCTGGCTGCATTGTCCCATTGCTGCAGGGCGGCGTGGGTTGACGATCCACACGTCGGGCGTGCCGTCTTGCACCAACTGTCCACCCCCATACTGTTCCAGGATCAAGCGCAAGTGTTGCAGTTTGGCGGGCCGAATATCCTAGACATGAACGGCCCCCCGTGCAGGGCGACGTGAACACCAGAGATGAGAAGCTCCAAAGAAGCTCCCAGGAGCCAAGGAGAAACACTGGCGAGATCGTGCCGGGCCTAGCGCTTGTACCTGGGCAAAGTCATCAGAGAGGCGGTATCGACGCCCCGCGAATGGGGACTCGGGGAGCTTGCAGCCTCCATTGGAGGCCTCATCCACGGGCCAGCCCTGGGCTAGGGAGCGTTCCAGCCAGGCACGAGGGACAAGCCAACCACCTTGCAGTGTGGTTGCCAGCACCTGTTTGCCCGTGTTCAATATGAACAAGCATTGTGCAAGCAGGCCAAAATTGGGGGAAGGGGACGATTGAGATGAGGGCGTGTGGGCTGCTGGGTCAGGGCGTATGCACGTGCATAAAAAAAAATAAAATAAAAATAAAAAAACCAGCTGGCTGCGTTGATTCTACCTTGACGGTGCGACAACCATTGGGGGCGACAACGTGCGTAATGTGCTCCAGGTTCTGATCGCTTTCATGCACAAAGAATCCGGCTCGGCGGGCGGCCTCAACCAGGCGGTCTCGTGTTGCCGTGTCGTAGTCGAGAAGCCCCGGCTTGAAGCCGCTGAAACACAAGGCGACACGGTGGCGTGGAATGACAGATGGGGCATGTTGGTCTCGAGCCAGGAGGGGTGGTGCAGGGCCTGGGGTATCCGCCACCTCTGGCGAGCTCATGGTGAGGCGATCAGGGGTTGTTTGCACGCTGGTGCCGCTGCTGGACAAGCCATCTGGTGGCGGCGGCGGCAGCGGGCGAGCCCGAAGGCCGGGCTGCCGGCGCGGGCTGGAGGCGGGCGAGCTGGCGCTGCTGATGGCTCCAGTGGAACTGCTGCTGCGGTTGTGCAGATCATTGCTGCTCGAGGTAATCGGAGCTAGGGCAGGGCGGGCCAGCGGTGGGCGCGGTGGACGGGGCAGCGGCTGAGCTGGGAGACCCAAGCGTGCAATCTGGGTCATGGTGGCCGCCGCGGTTTGAGGGCTGATGGCGTTGGCCACTGGTTGGTTTGTTTTGGTGTCTGGCCAGGCCAATCGCAGTTTGGCATGGGCATGAGCGTCAACGTTGGTGCTCAAATGAGTGCGGGCGTCAGTCGGGCATGGATGCTCATGGGTCAGCCGGTGCGATGCCAGTCCGGGACCGGCACGGGGTGTGACCAGAGCCGCAGGCTGGTCGTGACCATGGTCGGTCGTTGGCTGCTCAGTTATGGCAGCGCCGCCGTTCGTTTGGTCCTTATCGGTGCAGTCGTTTTGTTCTGGGGCTGGGTCAGGGTCGGGGCTAGAGGCTGGAATGTAATCCATGTCGGAGGCCGAGTCGGGGGCTGGCTTGGACTTGGGGCTAGAGGCAAGCTCATCGGTGGCCTGTCGGTGGAGATGGTCGGGCGAGCTCTGGATGCAGTCCCGTTTATGGTCGTGCGACTCAGGGTGGCATTTGGACGTGGCTGTCCTCAGGGGCGAGGGCGGGGGCGAAGTAGCGGCGTCAACGCGGCACGGCGGAGCTGGAAGCGAGGGCAAGGTGCGGGCCGTAGTGTGGGCATGACGCAGTCGAGCCTGGAGATCAGACAAGCGGGTCAGGAGACCCTGTTGCTGACCGGTCAAGGTTTGGTTGGCCTCGTGGCAGCGGCGCAGCGTGGATTGCAGAGCGTCGTGGGCCTGATGTAGCGCCCGTGCCTTGTCCGAAGCGGGTTCCTGCTTCTCATCGAGGTCACACAAAGCCGACGTTGTTTTGGCGCCAATGTCGGCCGCCTCCAGGTGAGTTTGGGTGCTGGCAACGCAGGTAGGCGGAGCAGGGGTTGAGGCAGAGTGGGCAGTTTTGCGGGCACGCAAGGTGCGAGCCGCCTGTGCCAGGGTGGACCGAATCAGTGCCATGGACTCTTGTCGCGTATGGTCGACCAGATTGAGCAAAGCTTCCCGCTGGACAACAAGGGCCGCCTGCAGACCATGTGCCTTGTCCTATGGTGGCAGTCCCGCATTGTGCATCCATGGCGTCGTGTATATGAGTGGGCGTGGAAAGAGCAAAACGCAGAGGCGTTGGTCAGGTTTGAAGCCCAACAACAGCGGGAGGTCAGATACGTACAAACAGGCGAAGCAGATGACGACCGTAGAGCTTGCGCTGCAGCTGCTCAAATGGAAGAAGATCAGGGGGAGGAGGGGAAAGAGGCGTGAGCGGCATCGAGGAACAATCTTGACAAACCCGCTTGGCCAGCTTTCATGGGTTCTTGCAGACGGCCCACACACCTGATGACGTTCTAGGAGTTGAGCGTGGGCGACGCGATGTTGTTGAAGGATGTTGATGTGCTGCTGGGCCTCTGCCAGGTCATCGCACAGAGAGGGCCAGGCCTCCTCATAACCTGTACGGCTGCCGCTGCGAGACGTGGCGGCACTTGCGCGGCCCGTTTCGCGCAGCAGCTGGGCGTTGTCGGCCTGCAGGCCGAGCACGATCTCTTCGAGGGCCTGGCGCTGCGCTCGCTCCAGCGTCAACTGATCATGTAAAGCTTGGACACGATGGTGGGTGTGTTCCACCTTCAACGTGTGTTCAGCCACGAGTGCGTCCTATCAGATACGCCACAGCACATCTGAGCCTTGGCCTTGAAAAGTCAAGAAAAGGCAACGGTAAATGGGTGGTGGGGATTGGCAGGATCAGAGCCGGCCTACCACGCCACGGCAAAGCTGATACTGCAAGGCTTGAAGTCCGGTATAGAGCCCCTGCTTGAGACGCTCAGGTCCATCTTGGTGGCGTTGAGCCAGCGAGAGGGAGGGGCGGGTGCTGGCATTTGCTCGCCAGACCTATTTGCAAAACTCAGAGTCGGCTAGGTGAGTCAAAGGCAACACGCAAATGGTTGGGCGCACACGCACGCAAGGGGATGGCGCCAGAGGGGGTGCACATCAAACCTCTTGACTGCATGGCATGGGTGAGGATGCGTCGTCCAATCTCGGCGCCGGGATTGGGGAGGCGGGGCGGTCCACCATGGCTCACTGCCAGAGGTCGATCCCGCGACGACCAGTCAGCCACCAAAAACTGCCAAAAAAAAAAAGAGGGGGATGGGTATCGCCAGGGGCGATCGATCAATGGACCATCCAAGCCCGATGAGAAGGAAAATATAACTCACCGTCGTGTTTGAACGGTCGCGCCAGTGCGTCAGTGCGTCAGTGTGTGTGTGCCAGTGAACAAACTCAAGCGGCGCCAAGCAGTTGCAGCACAAACGTGTTGAGACCTGTTGTTCGCCCAATCATCAAAACGCCTTTCCTCGTTCGTTGTGACCAAGGCAGACATGAAACGCGTGTCGAGGGTCCAGGGGGTCAAATTGGTCAGCCTCTCATGGGTCAGGCAGGTGCAATCATGGAGCAAATGAAGCTTCTGGCTTCTGGTGCAAAGGGGCAAAAGCTGATTCGGCTTGCGAGCGAGTGCCTTGTACAACGCTGCCGTTGTCATTTCCGTGTCCGAGGCTCCGTCCGCTGCCTGCTGCCGTTGCAAGCCGTCGGTACACCAGCAACAGGTCTCAACTTGTTGATGTCGTTGTGTTTTGTTGTGTTTTGTTGTGTTTTGTTGGATGACCTCATCATGTCGCAATCGTCTTGGGCAGAGCCCATTTTATCTGACAATCACCATGTCAGGTTTACAATAGAAATACAAGAACTTTTATGGCTTGTTTCATTTATATTTGCGCAAGCTGGCTAGGCCTTGAGTCTTGCGAAACACAAGCCACTACAGCGTGTGTGTGCAAATGACGTAAAAAGAAACGGCCAAAAGTACATTCTGCATTTTCTCAGACATTAGCGTCGATTTCTCTGTTTGATGATACACCAAACTAGCAACACATTCTACAAGCATCTTCAATTAGTCGATTTCCTGCTTCATCAGTCCCAGTCAATCTCACGCTTACAGCGAGCGAATGCAATCGTCCAGTCCCTAACCCACGCAAGGTGTGCGTTCATCCCCCTCGTGTCTCGTCTGCCTTTGTGTTCTTCTTTTGTGCTTCTTTTGTTGGTTGGCTGCTTTTGTTCTTTCGTCTCTCTCAGTTTCGTCTGCTTGCTTTTTCTCTCTGGTCTCTCTGTCTCTGTGTTTGTCTCTTTCTCTGTCTCTTTTTCTCTGTCTCTTTCTCTGTCTCTGCCTCTGACTCTGTCTCTTTCTCTCTCTCTCTCTGTCTCTGTCTCTGTCTCTCTGTCTCTCTGTCTCTCTGTCTCTCTGTCTCTCTGTCTCTGTCTCTTTCTCTGTCTCTCTGCCTCTGTCTCTCTCTCTGTCTCTGTCTCTGTCTCTCTGTCTCTCTGTCTCTGTCTCTCTGTCTCTGTCTCTGTCTCTGTCTCTTTCTCTCTGTCTCTTTCTCTGTCTCTCTTTCTCTGTCTCTCTGTCTCTGTCTCTGTCTCTGTCTCTCTCTCTCTCTCTGTGTCTCTGTCTCTCTCTCTCTGCTCTTTCTCACATTTTCTTCTTCTTCTTCTCTTCTTCTTCTTCTTTGGACCAGAGAGGATGAAGTCGGCTGCCGGTGCACTGCTGGCTGCGCTGGCCCTGTTGGCGGCCGTGAGTGCCGTTGAGGCCAAGTTTGCCTTTGGCAATTACTTTGCCAAGTATGTTTGTTGGAGCAGGATCGCTTTGACGGTGGCACCTTGCTTCTGGCGGTGATCGTTCAGGCTGTGCTTGTCATCAAACGGGAAACACAACTCACACTCGCCTCGCTTTGCCACAACCAACGCTTTAGCTGGGCGCAATACCGTGCCGGTGACTTTTCCTACACACCCCAGCAATTGGCTCCTGCCGTGAGCAAATTCGATTACATTGTCTGTACGTGGCTGTCGGTCAGGCACCGCCTTTGGAATCCTTCTCATCACAGGCACCATCTTTTTTTTTTTTTTTCTTCTTTCCTTTTTCTTTTTCATGTCAATTCGCTTCTCATCCCCTCATCTCGTTCCCTCGCGATGATGCCAGACGCGTTTGCTTGGATGAACGGTGGTTGTGGTGGCTGCAATGGAGATGTTGTCTACGATCGTCTTGGCCAGTGCCGTTTCCCCAACGGTACCTGCTCCATGTTTTCCAATGGCACTCGCGAGAGCCCCGAGTGCCCCACCGGCGCTGTCCGATGCACTGAAGGCAACTTCACCCTCGTGTCCCCCGAACCCGCCGACCCCCAATTTTATGAATCGGTGCGAACGTTGTTCTTGTGTCCTCCATCACACCTTGGCTTGCTTCTGTGTTTCCTCTCGCACCTACCACTCAAAACCATCCACTGTAACGTGCTATGAGGGCAGGTGGTGGCCTTCAAGCAACAAAACCCTGGTCTCAAGGTGCTGCTGAGTGTCGGTGGCTGGAACTTTCCCAGCTCCGTCTACTCAATCATGGTCTCTGATGACAACTACCGCCTCTCCTTTATCAACTCTTGCCTGGATTTCATGACCAAGTATGGCTTTGATGGCATTGATCTTGGTAAGTCTCGGCCCGTCGCACAACCCTTTGGTCTCCTTGTGGATTGCGCGCCAAGGCACCATGACTCATGATGCCTGTCCTCTGCTTTGACACGCTAGACTGGGAGTTCTGGGGCTCAGGCCCCCGCGACGATGAAATCAAGCTCTCCAACAGCAGCTTCCACCCCATCTACGACGTCGGAGGCCAAATGCCCGGTGATGCTCAAGGCCTCCTCTCCCTTGTCACGGAAATGCGCTCGTACTTTGGCCCAGACAGGATGATCACCGTGGCCACCCAGGCCGACATGGGCAAGATGAGCCAGATTGACATCCCTGCCGTCAGCGAACAGATTGATTACTGGCACCTCATGGCCTACGGTACGCCTTGTGTGCACAGCCCGCGCAGGCGCGTCTCTTGGCGTCGTCGTCTGCCCAAGGCAACAACCACAGGGCCACACTTGGCAGCTGACGCCATTTTCTTTTCCTCATTTGGCATGTGCATAGATTACTCCGTCTCCGACCTTCCCGAGATGTGCGGTGACAGCCCCTGCTTTGCCAACTTTACCGCCCCCAACCAGCCCTTGTTTGCCGTCAAGGAGGGACAGATCCCTGCTCACGAGCCCGCCTTCCCCTCGAGCTACTGGAGCGTCAACTACACCATCACTGGCTACCTGAAGGCCGGAGCTCCGCCCGAGAAGCTGGTTCTGGGTCTGACCTTCTACGGTCATCTCTGGTATACCCCTGGCCAAGAGAACAACTGGCAGCGCTTTGGCGTGCCCGCGGCGCTCTCCCATGGTTGCTACGGTCCCTTCAACCCCACCTTTGGTGCCTGGTACGCTCAACCCCATGCATGCAATGTGCTTAACCAGCATGATCCTGCTCGCCCTGGCTCATTGAGGACCTCTGGTGGCCCTTGCCCTATGCGTATTCCAGGCCCGGCCGTCGCGCCGAGCTCTGCGGCCTGCTGATCTACTCGGAGATTGTTAGCCTGATTGATCCCGCCAACGAGACGGAGAACTTTTTCGATCCCACTACTCAGGTCGGTGCTCTCATTCCCTCGGCGGCCAGGCGTCTTCACCGTCGCTCTTTTTTTTTTGTCTCTTGCACCGATGTCCCACGCTCCCTTCTTCATTGCGCCCCCTGTTCACGTCGGGTATTTGTGCAATATGCAATCACCACTCGCACACCTTTGCAGTCGGATATCGGCTTTATCCGTTCGGGTGACCGTGCCGGTGAGGACCTGGGCAACACCACGCCCGGTTGGGTGTCATGGAACAGCATCAAGAGCCTGCAGGCCATCACCACTTTTGCCATGGAGGCCGGCATTGGCGGCGTGTTCGCCTTTGATGCTTCGATGGATGTCTTTGAGAACGGCTACCCTGTTGTGACCGCCATTCATGACACCATCACAGGTGGCAACAACAACAGCAGCAACGTGTGCAACCCCAGCGCCGGTTGCAATGTCTGTAAAGCCTGCTGCCAGTCGTACCTCAAGAACCAGGACGACTGCGATGCCTGCGTCAAGGCTGAGTGCAAGACTAACCAATGCACTGGCACCTGCAACGTCTGCGATTCCTGCTGCAAGCCCTATCTCAAGGACCAGACGGACTGTGACAGCTGTGTCCAGTCTCAGTGCAGCGCCATCCCCTTTTAAGGCGCCTGCTTTACTCCTTGTTTGCCTTGTTTGAACGAGTCCCAACTGGGGGTGTCCGTGCACATGCCCCTTTGTTCTTTGTTTCTTTGATAAATCACTCTTCTGGGTATGTCGGTCGCCCAACATGCCATTGTTGTTCTGTGATCCTTTGCTCGTGCCCAAAAGTGTCGTTGTGAAAGTGCCCAACCCCCAGCGCATGTCGTTGCGCTTCTCAAATTTGAGCACATCCGCTTTCGATCTTGGCTGAAGGTCGGGCTCAATCGAATTGGTCGAGCATACAACCTTGAAGCATGAATATTGGTCAACAACCACCTCGGAGAGGGAGAGGTGTAGCTGCCTGCCCTTGCGTTAGCAGGCATTAGTGGGCCTTGCGCACGGTGACGCGGTCAAACACGGTGCCATTGCTGTTAAGAACATGCTCGTAGACAAACTCCTCTTGCGTGGCGGTCACTCGGCCGTAGCCTAAACAACGTACAACACATAAGGTGGATGTGAGCCAGCCGTCCCTGCTGAGGGCTCGAGTGGCCCAAGGTGGCAGGGGCACGGAGAGGCAGGCAACAACTCACCCCACGCGCTGAGCTGAATGCGTGTAAAGGGTCCTGCATCGCCAAACTTGTCAAGGTGTGGTGCACCTCCAGCTCCAGTCACAAAGTGCACAACACCCGAGGGGTTGGTAAACGTGCAGTTGCCTGGGGTGGTCGAGCCTGCATCGCACTTGTTTACCACCGTCCCGTTCATGACGGCATAGATTGACTCATAGTCGTGCTGTCGACACGGCGGAAAAAAAAATGAATAAATAAGGTTTAGTAAGCGCGGACAGACGCGAGAGTTGAGGCAGCCACGCCTACCTCGTGACCAGCAAAAAAGAGGTCGACGTCAAACTCGCGGAAGAGGGCTTCCAGATCCAGGCGCGAGACTTCCACCTGACGGCAATGTGCGGCACAGTGAGCAAGCCGGCTGGAACTGCTGGCACGCTGGGGTGATGCAAGCGGAGATAGGGAAAACAGAAAGAAAGAAAAAAAAAAAAAAAAAAAACTCACTGGAAAGATACCCGTGCCCGTGCAGCCACGGAAGGTGCCGGGGTTTTCCCCGTTGGATTGATCATACCAGAATTCCCACAAGCTGGATGAATTCTCACCCATGGTCACGCTGCTGCAGTCTGCATCCCAGCCATGATTTTCTCGTTAGATTACATGCAGGAAACACGGGCACGATGAGGCGGCAGGAATAGGGTGCGCCCTTCGCACATAGGGGTTGGTGAGCATTGACAATGATCCAGGGCACGGTTGCGCGATTCTGACTGGCCGCCTCCAAATCGGCGCGCAGCCAATCCAGCATGGGCTTGCGAAAGACAAGCTCCTACATGAGTAGTGGCACACGGTCACATCCACCAGTCAGTTTGTTGGGCGGGCCTGGTTGCACCCTTGTGGTGCTGACAATAACGATAGAGCGGCGGAAATTTCGCTCTGGTTGCGAACCGTGTCAAAGTAATAGACGTTCAGGTCGAGGGAGATGACATGCACTTGGCCCACATCCACCGAGTAGTAGCGGCTGGTTTTTGAAGTGCCCTTGACGGCCTGCATAATTTAACAACGGTCAAGGCGAGGCTTGAGGACATTGGGTGGCGTGCCAGGGCAAGCCACAATTTCATGGTTCTGGAGGATCGAGCGTCTGACAAACGATTCCTTCTTCTATTTTGCAAGCCTCATTGACGAACCTGGGCCAAAGTTGAGCCAATGGCAATGTACGAGTTGATGTGGCTGGTTGGATGAGCCGGGGGAATATCACCCAGAGTCACGCCATACGTTTGATTCAAGAATCGCTGGTCGAGTTTTGAGTGCAGGTGAGTTTGGTCAATTGCATAGCGCGGCCATGCCCCATCTGGCCACGAGCAAGCAAGGGCGGGGCTGATTGAACAGGACTCACGTTGAACTCATCACCATCGTAGTATTCATGGTTGCTGATGCCCAGCACCACCATGCACCAACCCCATGCGCGATGAGACCAGTTGCAATCAAACAATGTAATGTTGAACAGGCTTGAGCAAGCATGTCTTGGGCAAGACAAGCTGAGTGGAGCGTGGGCTCGGCACGTGCGACTTACCCAAGTACGGGCACCCAGGGAATCTTGGTCAGAATGGGCTGAAAGGCGTTGAAGTAGCCGTCGCCGCGCAGGCCTGAGTCTTGGGCAACGTTGTAGCTAAGGAGGAATGGGGGAGTTTGAGCAGGTGCGAGCCTAGACGGGGCGTGCCGGGATGGGGTGTGGGGGCGGACTCGGGGTCAGACGCACGCATGATCGCCCAGGTGTACGATGAAATCGATGCGCTGGGCTTTGACGTCGTCAAGGAGCCAGTCCATGTTGTTGTAGGTGTAGACACCCATGTCGCCAAAGATGGCAAACTTGGTTTCGTTCTTTTGTTCGCCGCTGTACAAGCTGGTAAAGCTGTGATCGGTTGAGAGAAAAAACAAAAACAAAAAAACACGACACGAGGGACAGCAGCAAATGGCAGCAGGTGACGCGATATCAGGGCGAGCGACAATGAGACGAGGCAACAAGCCATACAGGGCTTGGCGCTCACGTACTTGAAGGTTGAGCTCCAGGTTGAGCGAGCGCCACCGCGAACGCGAAAAAAGTAGCTGCGGCTGGGCGTGAGGTCTGGAAACACGACAAAGTGCATAAAGTAGTGGCGCGAGGCATTGCTGGTCTCTGTGTATTCCTTCGTGATGCCAGTCAGGGTGATGGCGTCGGTCAGATCGGCCGACTCGCCGAGTTGAGCGGTAGGAGCGCTTGTGGCAGTGTCGTTGAAGGTTACAAAGGAGACGACAACCGTGTCGGGTCCCGCCACCTGAAGGTTGACTTGTTCAGGCGTTGGGACAGATTGATTGGCCTCACAAAAGCCCCAAACGGCCATCGAGTTGCGGCAGTAGCACCAGGCGCCATACTCGCCGGGATCATTAGCGGGCATGGCGCAGTGACGACCGACGTTGGCGGGCGCTACGCCAAACTGCCACTTGGCATCGACCGCCGATTGATTGAGACCGGTGCAATTGTCGGCGGCCAGATCGGTCCAAGAAGCACAGCCCTCCGTGCAATTGGCAGGCGGAGCATAGTAATCCACCACCACGTCGTACATGGCCGCGCTGCTGGCCACCAGGGCCAACACGCCCAACATACCACACGCCCCCTTCATCCTGCTGTCTGTGATCAACATCAACAACAACAACAACTGACTCAAACAACAAAAAAGCTCGACCGCCGTAGCCCTTTGCCTAGTCAAGCGCCTCGACAGCAACCTGACACACACACACACACACACACACACACACACACACACACACACACACACACACACACACACACACACACACACACACACACACTGCACCCGCACCCGCACCCGCAACAGTTGACGCCCCTCAGCCGACCTTTCACAACGACGACGGACAGTGTGGCACGGGCCAAGAGTAAAATGGCTTAATGTGTCAAGGAGGAGTTTTTTTTTGGACACACACACACTGTGTTTCGTCTCTTTCGTATCTCTGTCTCTTCACTTTGTGTGTGTGTCTATCTCTCTCTCTCTTGTTACATGTGGTAGTTGTGCTATTATTTTCAACTCTCTTCTTCTCTCACTTGCTCTCTCTGTTGTCTTCATGACTTAAAATCCAAGGAGTGTTATCAACTTTGGACAACGGATGGAGAAGGATATGGTCACTTGGTTCGATTGCTTGATATCGAGCTGCGAACTGCTGTGGTTCCGCGATTCAGCGCGGGGTCGGGTGCAGCAGGAGGATGGGTGGCCAGACGCGGCTGGACCGGTTGGTCCTGCTGTTGGATAATGGCAGCACTCAGGCAGCACGTCGATTGGCTGGCGACCAGCTGGGTGAGGTTGTCAAGCAGTATCCTCAGGAGTTGCACGTTTTGCTCTGGCGTTTGCATACGCTGCTGCGCTCGGAGAAAATCACGACTCGCAATGCCGTGGCCCATGCCATTGGTGCCATTGCCGCCAACGTTCCCCAAGTGAGTGCTTTTGTCTGCTCCATCTCACCGCGCCGCTACAGAAGCCGTGGTAGTGGCAAGACCCTCGCAGCTTCCACCCGCTCAAGCTCTGACGCACGTCACTTGCTCGCCATCTGCGTTTGTCCTGCGCCCGGTCAGTGGGAGCCCCCCGCCCCAGCAGATGCCGCGGCAACTGCCCCGGAACAGGACCAAGATGGAGATGCAGGAATTCTTCGCTTTGAAACCTTTGATCTCCTCAACGTTCTACAGCACGGGACTCTTCTCATGGGGTCCACGGGCGTTGAGTACAGTTTACCTCGACATTTGCAGGTATCGTGACACACCGCCCTCGCTGCTGCCTTGGCAAGACCCAAGTCCAGCCCACACACAGTCCCGTGTACCCACCGCAAGATGTGTTGCTCAAGTGCGTGCATTGGTGCATGGCGCAAAACCGGTCGTAGAATGCTGATGCTCGGCAAAAGCTGGCCTATCAACGGCGTGCGCTTACCCGACAACTCGGCTTGAGTGACGAAAGTGATGACGTCGAGACTTTGGTCAAGTTGGTCTTCCGCCCCGGTCTCCGCATGTCCCGCAACCCCACGGGCCCCTTTCCTTTCCAATGCCCTCCTTCTCATGTCACTGACCATCACCCACCTCTCATAGGGAGGAGGACGTTGAAACAGATGGCGCCAAAGGTGGTGCCGAAACACCATCAAACGCGCAGGAGCAGAGCGATTTTGATCGCGAGCTGGCTGGCATGAGTGCACGCATGCGCAACAAGTGAGGACGCATCCACGCCTTAATTGTCGATTATGATTCACGCCGGCATGTCGTGGTCCGAGTTTTGATGCCATGACCTTGTCACCGATTTTGTGCTTGACAGGGCCAAGCGCTTAAAGAAGGAGGCTGAGCGCGGCCCACGCACCGCGCTTCAGGCTGGTTGGTGCTCCACGCTCCCTTTCGTGTGCCATGCTCAACCACACCTGCTCCTTTCCATTCATATTATCGTTGGCTCGGCCGTCCCGTGCTGTTCCTGCCTCATGACTTTGTTACATCATATCATCCCTGCAGAGCCAGAGCTCGCCGCCAAGCGCATCAAGCGAGAGGACGGCGCAAGCAACGTCAAGGTCACAGAACAGAGCGATCCCAACAAGGTCAGGCAATCCGATCACCCACCTCAACAAATGCAAACCGCCTCGGGCGCACACTGACGCGCACTGGTCATTTTTGTTCCGCCAAGATTGTTGTCGAGGCCCAGCAACAGTCGGATGACATTTTCGCCGATGCTGAGGAGTGGCCTTTCCAACCACGTTGCGACGAACTCTGTGAGTTGACCGCTCTCGCGGTGACACCTCGTCTTGGCCCTCAAAACCACTTTGCCTTCCTTCGCTCATTCTATCGCATGCCCTGACACAAATCCTGTGGCAGGTACTGACCTGTTCGACCCATCCTGGCATGTACGTCACGGCGCGGCTATGGCCTTTCGCGAAATTCTGCGGCATCACGGGGCCACCGCCGGCATCTCTGCCTCCACACCACTCGAGTACGTCCAGTGCATCATCACATGCCTCCATGCCCCCTTGACGTACGACTGACAGCTGGTCTGATGTCATCCCGTCACATTGTCACAAACTGGGCGAAAATTGCAGTCAGCGGGCCACCCAAAACGCCGCCTGGTTGATGGATCTAGCCCTGCGTATGATCTGTGTCCTTGCTCTGGACCGCTTTGGTGACTACTCGCTCGAGATGGCTGTGGCACCTGTTCGCGAAGTGGTTGCTCAAGCCTTGGGCGCCGTCCTGCATCACATGAAGCCTGCGCAGGTTTGCCCCCTTCTCGCCCTGCACATCCTTTAAAAAAGCCCCCCCCCCCCTCCCGGAAGATCTGCTGGGCTGAACCGATTGGCATCTTTTCTCATTCATTCGGTCGCTAATGACCTCTGCCCCACGCTTCTAGTGCGAGCAAGTGCTGTCCTTGCTGTTGCTGTTGCAGCAGCAAAAAGAGCTTTGGGAGGTGCGCCATGGTGGGCTGCTGGGTATCAAGTATCTCGTCGTTGTGCGTCGGGATCTCGTCGGACAGTTTCTGGATAAGTTGAGTCCAGCCCTGCTGCGCGGTCTGGCGGACGAAGACGATGACTTGCGTGCAAGCGCAGCCGAGGCCGTTATCCCTATTGCTGAGCAGGTATGCAGGCCCGATTGCTCAGCGCCGGCCGTGCGTGGTGCGCTTCCCTCGCTAACACAAGGTTATTTCGCGTGCATTGTCAGCTCTTGGCATCTTCGGCTGAAGCTCAGCTGACCATCTTGACAAAGCTCTGGGACGCTTTACTTGTCATTCACGAATATTCTGCATCCACGGCCTTTGTGCTCGAGCTCTTGTCCACCATGATCCAGTTGCAAACGCGCCATGCCGCAACCGGTGCGTCTGAGAAAAACATCGGCCCTCTTTCTCAGCAAAAGTGGTGGCGCGCCTAATGTACTGCTTTCCATCATCAACTTTTTCTCACGACGCTTCTTGCGTTGACCCCTCTTTGTGATTTTTGTACCCAACCAGCCATTGAACACAGCCATCGAGACCGTTTGAGCCCGGCCAGCCTTATTGCTCGGCTTTGGCCTTTCTTGCGACACTATAGTGTCACCGTTCGCCGAGCTGTTCTCGTTGCGGTCGGTCTCAAATGTCCCCTAGCCCGGGTTATGCGCTCAGCCTGATCGAATTTTCGCCACTTGCTCATGCGTGCATCACCCCGGGACTGTCTCAGCTTGAGCGTATGATTGAGTCAGCATATGCTGTCAATAGCGGCGCCGCCTTTGATGCCATCTTGTCTGATATCTTGAGTCACATCTACCAGGTAACCGGCCCCCCTCGCCAAGCTCCTCTTGTCATGGTCATGCTAATAATCCTGCTTCGTTGCTGTCCCCTCACACACACCGTATCCTCACTCTGAATTTGCGATAGAACATGCTGCTTGAGGAAAAGGAGGAACTTTCACTGGTCAACGAGCGGTTGTGGCTCCAATGTCTTAAGGTCGTTGATCCCGTTGCTCTTGATCAGGTGCGTTTGCTTTAGCTCAACGGCTAAACACTCCTGCTGGTCCTCAAATTATGGCGCCGATCCTTCCCCTCACGCACGCCCTGTTCCCGACGCACAGGCCATGTCAGCCCGATTGATATCATGGATGACCATTTTGGTGACACCGGCTGGCAAACCCATGGATAAGGCTCACTTGGTCGTGGCGCATGTCGACGAGTCTAGCATGGTATCTCAGTGACACCCGGTGTGGCTCGTTCAGTGGCCATTTGTTTCGATTCGGCCGTTCATGCCATAGTCAAACTTGCAACGCCATGATAGACGAAAAAAGATCGTGAACGTTTGGCCGGCAACAAAGACAAGCAGCGTCCCTTTTGTATTGGTGGCTCTGACCAAGCTCTATCTCCCAAGTACGCGCCAGCTTCATTTTGCCCCATGCTCGCTGCCTATACCTGCTGTTGTGGCGCCTGTGGCCATCTGACTCACGTCTGTGGCCATTTGACTCGCGCTTGCACGTTGCAAACAGCATGGAAGAAATTACAAAATGTCGAGCCCGCGCAGCCAAGGCTATGGCACACGCAGCCGCTCGCTGCGTGCAAAAAGGACTCAAGCCCAAAATTTTCTACTCACTCTGTCTGCAGGTCTGCATCTTACCATGCTTTATGTTATCCCACGTTTCCAAGTGGTTGCCAGTCGTTTTGCTCACGAAATTTCATTCTTTTGCCTGGTTTAGCTGCTGAAGCCATCGTCGGCCGTGCAGCGTGAATTGGGTGCCCAGATGATTGGACACTTTTCGTTGGCCAAGCGCACGCGTTTCAGTACGGCGGTGAGCTGCACTCATGGGTTTTTTTTTTTTTTTTCCATTGTTGGCTTCGGTTTCTGCTTTGTTTCTTGGATACACTGAGCCATGCTCCCTATTAATTGCTTAGGCTTCCCCGTTACCCAAGGTCATCCTTGAGCGGCTGCAACAGGTGATCCCCGGCGCCACCATGCTTTATGGACTTCAGGAGTCGTCGTTGAACAGCCATCTTGACTCACCATCCATGCTCTCCTCATTTGTGGCGGGGTAGTGCCTGACTGAACAAATCAGCTTTGATGAGTTGAATGACCTGGTGGCCGCCATGCGGACGGATGCGGGTGGTCTTTTGGCTGCCTATATTCAGGCGGGCCTAGACAAGAAGCTAGTGAGTTTGCCCGACAATCACATTTCAGGTGGCCCTGGCTCACATCACGTTGTGCTGCCATTGTGTCCCAGGTGGATGCCGTCGGTGATCCACGACGCCTCAACATGGAGAACTGTGCGTTGATCCTTCAGCGTCGAAATGAATGGGAGCACAAGCTGAGTAGTTCCGTGAGTCCACTGGTTGATGGAACTTGCTTTTTGCGACCCTCGTTGCAACAACCATCGAGATAACTTGCCGTCTTTCTGGACTTTCATGTATCCCAACTGACTTATCTCTGTGCACAGACGGAGCTACAAGTGCGCGAGCGAGCCAGCTTGGCGGCGCGCTTAGAGACGAGCATTCAATTCTTACAGCAAGAGTATGCACGAAGTAACATCAGCTTGATGAGCTGCATCGCTACGGCGCTCATCGAGTCAGACTTCCTGCCTGACAAGCTGACTCCACTCATTCGTGCCTTTATGGACGGTATTTGCAAGGTACCTACTGTGCATCCCTGAGACTGCTCAGATGGAGGATTCCCCACTCATGTCTGTGCTTCGTCTTGGCGAAGAACCGGTTTCCCGTCTTGCAACGCCTGGCAGCATCCGGGCTGGCCCGGTTGCTTTATAATGCACGCGATCGAGAGCGCTCCCCCAACAATAAAATTCTTGAAAAAGTCAAGGGGTCCGTTGGTGCTCTCCTCTTGCTCTTCTACAGAGTACGGCGGGCAAGTGTTCTTGTCTAGCGGCACTTTTAACCATGGGTTGTTATTGCCCTTGATAGCTTTCTCAACGCCGATGAAGAAGCAACCCCTGACTTGAAAAAGGAGGGCAATGCAGAAGCTTTGGGCATCTACAGTCTTCGCTTGCAACGTGCCCAGGATGCTGCTTCAGAGAGTTTGGCCAAGCTGAAAAGTGCGTATTGAAGCCCACCCCGATGCTTTTTGTCGTTATTTCCTTTGGAGATGACGATATCAATGACTCTGGTTCTCTCCGTCTCTCTCCGTCTCTCCCTGCCCTTCTCTGCCCCTCTCTGCCTCTTTGTCCCTGTCTCTGTCTCTTTTCGTGCTTTTCATCTCATCTGAGTCGTCAACCTGCTTCCGTTGTCTGCATCTTTGTATTTTGTGCTTCCTATAGAAGGGCAAACAGATGCCGTAGCCGAGGCCATCTTGGGCCAAGACCCTGTCTCTCAGCAGAATCAGCTCACCAGCCGAGGGGCACGCATGTTGCTGGAGGAGCTTGGTCAGATTTATGGCGAATCCTTCTTGCAAGACGTGCCAGTGCTGCTGCAGGGCGTCAGCGCTGCGCTTGACAATCTGCCCAAGGCTGCAACTGATGATTTGCCTGCGCTCCAGCAAATCTTGCACGAGCTCACGCTCTTGGCTGGTGCGTGACTGTGACTCGTAAACAAGATGACCAGCCTTTTCCGAATTTGTGCTCACGACTCATTTCTCTCCTAGTGCTCATGGCCACCGTGGACAGTGCTCAGCGTGAACGGCATCTGGCCTCGCTAGTGGGTCCGCTGCTGGCTGGTCTACGGGTGCCCAACCAGGTGGTTCGGTACAAGACGGCCAGCACTCTGGCTCAGATGGCAGCTGTCAAGGTGAGCTTGATTTGTTTTCTTGGACCTTTATGTGTCGTCTTCAAGGTCCACTTGAGAAAATGCATCAGCCAAAATGGAGTGGCCGAGTGCAGCTAGAAGTGGATCAAGAATCAGCCTGTACTCCCAATGACCATTGTGTGCGCATTGTCTTTGCAGGAAATTACACATCAAGTGATGCCTCAATTCCTGCAGCAAGCTCTGCCATTGCTCAGCGACACATCCAACGACATTCACCGGCAAGGGGCGGCCGAGGCCGTGGCGCTGCTCGTGGACACTCTCGATCTTCAGATTTTGCCATACGCTGTGCTCTTGGTCATCCCCGTCATGGGACGCATGAGCGACTTCAATGCCGATGTGCGAGCTGTCGTGGCGCGCACTTTTGGGCGGTTGCTCCGTATTCTTCCCCTGGAGTCAGGCGTGCAAGATCCCGAGGAAATGGCCGCCAGCCTTCGCGAAGAGAAGCAAAAGCATCGCACCTTTATTGACCAGCTCATGGACCCGACCAAACTAGAAAATTACCGCTTGCCCATCAAGATCAAGGCTTCTCTTCGCTCGTATCAGCAAGCAGGCATTGATTGGATGAACTTTCTGCGCAAGTACCAGCTTCATGGCATTCTCTGTGATGACATGGGTCTTGGGAAGACCCTACAGGTATGTCTAATCATCACAAACGAGAAACGAAAAACGAGACGACAAATGCTCGCTCGCGCGCGCACACACACACACACACACACACACACACACACACACACACCACACACACACACACACACACACACACACACACACACACACACACACACACACACACACACACACACACACACACACACACACACACGCACACACACACGCACACACGCACACACACACACACACGCGCACACACACACACACACACACACACACACACACACACACACACACACACACACACACACACACACACACACACACACACACACACACACACACACACACAGAGCAAAAAAGCGAGGATACATGTATTGAGCGTATGGTTGTATGCTATAGTTGGCTTGACTCATTGGCTTGACTCATTCCCAATTTTTTTGCCTCTGAATCTGAACTTGCGCGCCTCTGTTGCATCAGAGCATTTGCATCATTGCTGCAGACCACTTTGAACGGCGCCAGGCTTTTGAAGCTACCGGCAATCCAGACAGCCAACATTTGCCGTCCTTGGTCGTTTGCCCCTCAACGCTCACTAGCCACTGGTATCACGAGATTGAAAAGTTTTGTGAGGGACTCACTCCGCTGCGCTTTGTGGGCACCAATGCATCAGCGCGCCGTGCCCTCTGGACTCAAGTTCCCGAGGCGGATGTGGTCATTGTGTCGTACGACGTTTTACGCAACGATGCAGAACACTTTGCCGAGCAGCGATTCAACTACTGTGTCCTGGATGAGGGCCATATCATCCGCAATACTTCGAGCAAGGTCACCCTTGCCGTCAAGGGCGTGCAGTCGAACCACCGACTCATTCTATCGGGCACTCCGATTCAAAACAATGTTCTCGAGCTCTGGTCTCTGTTTGATTTTTTGATGCCGGGATTTTTGGGTACGCAGCGCCAGTTCAACGAAGCGTACACCAAGCCCATCCGTGCCTCGCAGGGCGTGCGAGCGACCAACGAGCAACAAGCTGATGGGGCGCTCGCGCTTGAAGCCTTGCATCGCCAAGTACTGCCTTTCTTGCTGCGTCGTCTGAAGAGCGAGGTGCTGACTGAACTGCCGCCCAAAATCATTCAAGACTATCCATGCGAGCTGACGCCGGTGCAGACGCACTTGTATGAGGCATATAGCCAGTCGCAGACACGTAGCTTGGATTCGGCAGTGGATGCCGCCTCCTCAGGCCACTCTTCCAAGCAGGACAGCCAACACGTGTTTCAGTCCTTGCAATTTCTTCGAAAGGTGTGCAATCACCCAGCCCTGGCTCTCAAGAGTGGCACGGCCTTGGCGGAGCGGGTATTGACCGAGGTGGCTTCTGCTCACCACCAGCCACGCGACTATCAGCTATCGGGCAAGCTTGTGGCCTTGCGACAGCTACTTATGGAGTGTGAAATCGCTGGACGCAGCGGTGACGCAAATGCAGACGAAGCTGATTTGGCTCGCACGGCTGTGGGTCGGCATCGCGCCCTCATCTTCGCACAGCAGCGCGCTTTTTTGGACATTGTGCAAGAGGAGTTGCTGGATAAGCATTTGCCCGAGGTGACCTACCGGCGCCTGGATGGTGGCGTGCCCGCTCAGCAGCGACATGATATTGTGGTCGAGTTTAATGAGGACCCATCTATCGATGTTTTGCTTCTAACAACAAGCGTGGGCGGCCTGGGCTTGACGCTCACGGGCGCCGACACGGTTATCTTCCTGGAACACGATTGGAACCCCATGAAGGACCTGCAGGCCATGGATCGTGCTCACCGCCTGGGCCAAACCCGAGTCGTCAACGTTTATCGTCTCATCACGCAGCGAACGCTGGAGGAAAAAATCATGAGCTTGCAGCGCTTCAAGATCAACGTGGCTGATACCGTCGTGAATGCAGAGAACGCGTCCTTGTCCAGCATGGGAACGTCGCAGCTGTTGAGTCTTTTCAAGGTCGACGAGGGTGATTCTGCAGGGGCGACCGGGCGCGCGGACGCCCGCGAGGGCTCCCTTACAAACCTGATGACTGACGTCGAGGACATGTGGAATCAGACAGATTACGAAGACTTTAATGTCGATGCCTTCATGGAAGGGTTTTCTTGAAAAAGGGCGTAAGAACAAGCGGTGTTTGTTTCATTGTGTGCCTAGTTTCGCTTTCGTAGCGTCCGCATGGCCCCCAATTGATGCATGGACGTTCAAGGCTTGGCCGTCAAAGGGAAGTATTTTGGTCATGATAGATCAAACGCGTGCTTGTGAGCGTGATTCACGATACTGAAGGAGAGCGACTCGGAAGCGACGACGAGGTTCCATGTTGTATTAATAACACATCAATTCCTTTCAAAGGACAATGATATGCAATCAATCTTGGGGGCTTTGGAGTCGTATTTGGACTCTAGGCCTTAGTCATGATGCTTGCGCAAGAGTACGGAGTAGGGCTTGATGAGCCTCAAATATGAGTTGGACTCCACAAATGTCAAGCACACAGTAATCTGGCAACCTACGGTGAGAACCGACCCGCACAAAGCGCTGTGAACAGGCACAAACGCATACGCAAAAAATACACCAAAGGACGGGGTCGCGGGTCAAAAGAAATTTTTTGGCACCCTTGGCGCAGAAACCTACTGTCGCTTGTATCCGGGAGATATGATCATGCCATTGGCTGAGATGATGCGTTTACCCTAAAATTGTCCAAGCAGCCGCAAGAGACAAACCATTATGGCTCCAGTCGTGGCAGCGCTTGGACCAGTGTGTCACATCACAATTCAAGGGAGGATGAAAAAACAGTGCAGTCGCACCTGGTTGTAAAGGTAAAAGTGTCCGTCATGTTTGAGCTTGAGCGTGGCTTGCCACCTCGAAACTCGCGGTGCTGGACCCTCTAGCTCAACGTCAATGTCAACGGGACCCTCGGCGCTCTGGCGTCCGATGACAGCCTGCGTCGCCAAGACCAAGAACAATGACCCATCATGTGAGCTTGCGTCGCGTATCAAGAGCTTGCGTCGCGTATCAAGAGCTTGTGAATGATGCTGTTTGATATTGGGTGCATGATGGGGCAACCTGGCGCGAGCGAATCCGGTAGTGCAGGTGTTGGCCGCGCACAACGGCCAACGTGGTGCTGTCAAACTGTTCGATGCCCTCGGTCATTGTTGCATCCACGCCTAAAATGAACATGAAGAGAGGTGGCGTGACTTGGCACAGGACGTTCTTCGGGTCAGATGTTGCGATGTCAAGCCAGACCTGGCAGCGCACTCCAGGTTGCCAACTGCATTTCCAAGCGACGAATCTTGCGGTTTAGCTTGAGATCCAGCATCTCAAGCTCATGACGCAGACTGGCCGATGCTACGAGAGTGGGTGACATCGGCAGCATCAGCTCAAGTTGTGGTGCCATGCATGCGCCAAAAGAGAGCCGGAACCGGTCTTGCACTTACCTTTGGCAAGCTGTGTACCGGGGTCCTGGAGCAAGGTCAAGAGCTGATGACGACCCTGTTTAAAGCGCTCTGGATGACGTGCCAGCATGCCAAGCTCGGCCAGGCGAATGTAATGGGTTCTTAAGCTAGTTGGGGTGCGGCAAAGGTGGAAGGCTTCGCGCTGTTGATGAAGGAGGTCAGCAAATGCCGCTTCATCTGGAAGACTGGCTCCCTCTGGCAGGGACAGGGCGAAGGACTGCAGGGCCAATTCTTCGGCCTGAGAGAAAAGCAGGTTACTGTACACCTGTTGACGCGCTTTGGCATCAAGGCCCGACAAACCAGCGCAAACGATCCTAAAAGCGCAAGCATCAGTCGAATAAAGTCGCGCATGGCCACATGCAGTCTAGGATGCGAGTGCAGGTAGCCCAAGGCTTCCCGGACAGTGTGGCAAGCAGATCGACATGGGCCTACCGTGTCACATCTTCCACATACAGAATGGCATGCCAGCGCCGAACGACGTGTTTTAAAGAAAACGGCTTGCTAAACTTGATGCCTTGGTGGACCATAACCAAGTCCGAGGTCTATGAGCCCAGATCCAAGTCAATTGAAGTACACACAAAGGTGAATGGGTCTGAGCGTGCTGACCCGCGCACACAAAGACAAGGGGTGTAGGGCAAACGAAATGGTAGGAGCCGAGGAGGCAAGGGACAGCCACAGACCTGCTCGACGTTTGCAATGAGTTTAAAGTCGTCGAGGGCAGTCCAAGTGAGCACCGTGGGCTTGAGTGGCTTGGCCGGGCCTTGCTGATTCTTGGCGGAGGCTCGGCTGCTGCTGGGGGTGTGAGGCGCGGCCTTGCTGGGCGTGTTCTTGGCAGGTGTGCCTTTCTTGCTTCCAGAACCCTTGCGGGACCGTGGGGGCTGATCAGCACCCCCTTTTGCTTTGTCTACAGCATCTGCACGCGCGCAATTGCAACATTGAGCTTCATCGGAAAGCGCGCCGCATCTGGCGCGAGTTGAACGGAGCCAGCACTCGCAAAATGGTGACGCCGACGCCACTCGCAAACGCACCGGTCTTGGACGCCTTTGCACCTTTTTTGGTACCACCACTCTTTTTTTCCGCCTGGTTTGAAAGCAGGTTGGGACGATCGTCAGGCGGAAGGCACAATGATGCGTGGACGCACCGAGTTGAAGACATCAAAAAAGAAAAAAAAAATGGGCGCATAACGTCGTGGCTGACTGTCAAGCATGACGCACCTTGCGCTTTGCGGTGCTGCTAGAGTCTGCAGCTGCGGCGGGGGAAGAGGTCGTTGCTGCGGCATCTTTGGCCAGGCTTTCAGGAAGGGGGGAGGCAGTGGCGCTCAGAGTTCCAATCGTCTCTGCATTGGTGCCTGTCAGTGCACGATCGCCAGCAGCAGGATTGGCTTCTTCAGACATTGGCGCTGGACTTGAGGCGCCGCGTTTGTTACTATTGGACTCCTTCTTGGACTTGGGCTCTTTTTTAGCTCGCGGTACTTTGGGCGTCTTGGGCTCCTTGGGCGTCTTGACTTTGGGTTCTTTTTTAGTCTTGGGTGCCTTGGGTGTCTTTGGGGCTTTGGGCGTCTTGGGCTCCTTTGACACTTTGGGGGCTTTGGGCGCCTTTGGCGCTTTGGGCGCTTTCGGAGGCTTGGGCTCCTTGGGCGTTTTCGCGGCCTTGGTCTTGGGTGCCTTGGTTGCCTTGGGTGCCTTGGCGGTTGCATCAGCTGCATCAGCAGCAGCAGTCCCTGTGGTAGACGTGTTGGTCGGAGCCGCCGTGGCCGCCGTGCTGGTGCTGGTAGAAGTACCTGTTGGGGTAACCGTGGCAGAAGCAAAGGTGGCTGACACTGGGATACGAGTCATTGGAGAGGTGTAGGTGTAGCCTCGGCCAGCTGTCGTCAGCGGCGCATTGGGTGGACGGATGACCCCGTAGTGTGCTGAGACGTAAGATTGTGGCGGGTATCCATAGGGGCCGTTATAGGGCATGCCAGCCGTGTACATGGGTCGACCCCCGATGACACCCCGTTGGGCCATGGGATAAGACTGCATGAGACCACTCAAGGGTCGCGCTAAAAGAAGCAAGATACAAAAGCCTCGTGAGCGGCGGGCGCCAAAAAAACAAGCAAAAGGAAGACAGAGGTGGATGGCATGGCAACATGAGAAAATCAAATCAGGGGCCGTCTGAGGTCATGCTGACACACCAGCCTGATAAGGCCCGAGCACGGGGCGTGCGTTACTCGTGGCAGCAGTTGTTGTCGGCATTGCGGTCTGTGCGGGACTGGCCGTGGTTGTTGCGGGACTGGCCGTGGTAGCAGGCGTGGCAGAAGCCGTGGTAGCAGGCGTGGCAGAAGCCGTGGTAGCAGGCGTGGCAGAAGCCGTGGTAGCAGGCGTGGCAGAAGCCGTGGTAGCAGGCGTGGCAGAAGCAGTTGCAGTGGCGGTGGTGGCCACAGCAGTCGGATGCGTGGTGGAGGGCTGCAGGTCAGCAGCTTGCGGCGTGGCCGATGTTGCGGTGGTCGATGCGGGGGCTGAAGCCGTGGATTTAGGAACTGAGGTGGCCGCAGCTTCCGCCATCTTGTCGGCTGCCGCTGCCGACGAGGCTGAATCGCCCACAACAGTCCACGCATGAGCTCAAGCGTCTGCCGTTGCTGTGCATCGCCCCCGCGCCCCGGCACATAACAAGTCACCAACCTTCACTCATCCTGGGCGATGGCGCCACGGGCCTGCTCGATCCGTAGACACCACAGCCCTGTGAAACAATCCAAGAACAACAGTCAACCGGAACGCTGCCAGCTTCCCTCACCGGCCAACAACCCCTCGCCTCAACCTCCTTACCCTCCCCCCCCGCTGCCGTTCAAGACCCCCACAGACTGACAGAGAGAGAGAAGAAAAAAAATTTATAACGTCTGACTCTTGTGTTAAAACTTTAAAAGTGACTTTAAAAGTTCAAGAGAAGTTTTATAAAACTTTCAAAGAGAGAGAGAGAGAGAGAGAGAGAGAATGAATTGGTTTGAGAAGAGAGAAGTAAAGAGCAGGAAAAGCACAACTACCACAGAGAGAGAGAGAGAGAGAGAGAGAGAGAGAGAGAGAGAGAGAGAGAGAGAGAGAGAGAGAGAGAGAGAGAGAGAGAGAGAGAGAGAGAGAGAGAGA